TGGCGGCAATTCTACCTGTTTCATCAGCAGATAGGAATTGCGTGGATCCACCGTTTCCGTTGGTCAACATGCGCTAAATTACACTATTATTAGACAGATAACGGTAATGCAAATCGGGACTGCAAACGCATTAATAGGTATCTACTGCTGAAGCCTTCTTAGTTAAATGCTAAATATGTATCTGCATATGTTATTAGATAAGGACACATTGATTAAATACCACATTTTAACTGCTATTTTCTTTTATTATGTTTAATCTTATCCTTTTCTTCCTATTTATTTGTCATTATTAACATGATATAAATGCATGAAGATAACAGTATCATAATAAGAAATTTTAAGGAACATAATAATATCTGCACTGCGTTTAGACTAACTCTTAAATCTCTGTAAGCCGAAGGAATATAAAAAATGAAAGAAAGCCCATTTTCTGATAATTTAGCATAAGCTTCTAATCAAACGTGCATATTTGATTTTTCCTCTTTTTGCGAATTCATATTTGATTACTTTTCGGAGATAAGGCTTCGTTCATCAAAGTAACACATTTCATTCATATATTCTCCATAAAATTAATCTTCTACTATATAAACGAAAATGGTTATGAAAGGAAAAATTCCATATTAGTCCTGCACTTCAGCTTTATAATTTAAAGTAATTATAAAGCTGTAGTCGTCATGGCCTAACCAACAATGTAATTTTATTTCATGAAAATTGAGTAATGTTTTACCTGCATGCTACAAATTCTTTGAAATATAACGAATTTAAAATGACATTAAGATAACATAAATTTATTGAACGATGCAAAAATCAAAGAAGACTTGAAGTTTTAATGGAATAAACATCAAGAAATAGAAATTCATTAACATTATATTTATAGACAATGATATAATTAATGACTAGTTACTATTTACCAACTTACCACTTACTATTTACCAACTTACCATTTACTATTTACCAACTTACCACTTACTATTTACTATATAGTAGAAATTTACTTAATAACTGCACTAGAGCATTTTATACTGATGACATTTTCTGGATAGTTTTTTATATTTTTTCAGAGGCGGGCGCTAGCTACTTTTTAGGCTTTCCCCAAAGGTAGGAAGCGTTGGTCATTTTATTATGGATACACCTAATAGGCGACCACTGATACCTCTTATGAAGGGACACATTCTTATAAAACTTGCAATTACCCCCCTCCTTTTTTTTTTTCAAAGAGTTAGTATGGGAAGGCATTACCAGTTGACCTATGGTACATCGCTGGTGTCCCCCACACTTTTACCTTTACCTTTACCTTATGAAGGGACAGACAACTTGCGCCCATGCCTTCTCCGGGATCCGAACCCGAGCCGTTTGGTATCACAATAGGCTCCCCTAACCAATATCCCAGCTGGGAGGCCTTCTGGATATAGATATCTTGTTACAGTATATACATCAATATGCAATATGTATCTTTATCTGCTTCCTTAATCGAATAAGGAAGACAAGCGTATCCTACCTAAATGTAAGAATGTCTTTGAAGACATTTTAAGGAGGACATTTACCAGGATTTGAATTTGGATCGAGTTGCCAATGTCTGTGGTCTTTATCAATTAGGTTATAAGGTATTTCTCCTGCCTTCTTAGCATGCGTTTATGGTGTAGTGGTAAGCACGCTCGGCGCGTATTCGAGACTTGCGTGCTTCAAGTCCCGGCGAGAGCATTGCTAATTTTTCATCTCTCCTTTCAAAATACCTAATGACACTACAAGGTTTCTAGCGATCCTAATGTACAAGTATGATAAGGTCATGATGATATAATGGCTAATGTAAGCGAAAGGAAAAGGGTACGTATTCTCAGAAGGTTTTTAATGCTTAAAAGATATTCAGGCTTCATATATTCAGAGCAGAATTGTTTCTAGAAATTTATTATGCACACCCATACAAATCGTTTTCGTTATGCAGCAGCTGTAGGCAGGCGATTTCGAAGCTAATGCAGCATAAAAATAACGAACAGATGGCTAGAGAACTCAGCAGTTATCACAGTGAGTTTTGAACTATTGTTAGTTTATGAAACAATTTCTAAACCCTTCTGGGGAATTTCCGTAGAATATAAAGCATATCGGATTTTACGTCCTACATAAAAATGATTTTATACTAAAACTCAAACAAAGAAGATTTCTGTATAATCATTATTTAAAATAATAGCACATATTTTACATTCTTGTACAAAGGAAAGGAAGTATTGTAATCGCTAAAAAATTCGGGTATCATATTTCAACGAAAATATCAATTTTGACTTCTATGGAATGCAATTCAACGATATTTCTGCATGACATCTGAAAGTAAGGATAGAATAAAGGACTCTTTTCCCCAAATGGATTGCAATTATGGATGGATTTACATGGATTAAGAAGTGTGTGTGATTATGGCAAAGCCTCGAGAAGGGAAAGGATGCCTTCGTGGAGGACTTTCTAAGGGAAACTGGCTAGTATACACGTCGCACATGGGGAAAACCACGAAAACGCCCATGCAGCCAGCCCGTTCACGAGATTCGAACCTCGGACCAAAATACAAGTGTTCAGCGAATTTACCGCTCGGCCGCTGGTGGGCCATGGATTAAGAAGACACTTTTTTTTCTTGACGTCTACATGTACCAATGTATGTATCTCGCATAACTTGAAAACGAATAGCTTCAAATCATCGAAACTTTGTATATAGGACTGCTGTAGCATGTGGTTGTGCACATGTCTTTTTGTTTGCAATCGGCCGCACCAAACGTGTATAATATAAATTAAATATATATATAATATATATCTTATATATATATATAGTTTACTCGCCTCGTCCTAACGACTCAGTTTTTTTTTATTCTTATATGTGTAAAATGTGCTTTGCTTTAAAAACAACTGAATTATACATAATTTGTTCCGGTTAAGATTTGCATGTCTTAATTAATCTTCATGCAATTGTTGTATAATTATTAATAATTATTAAAATTTCAAAAGATTTACTTGTAGAATAATTAAACTTTCTAATAATTTAGTATTATTCGAAGTACTAAAAGGGATTTTAAAGACGTTGCTATTAAAATCTCCTGCGGGGCATTTTATTTATCTCGAAAAATTTTCTTCTTATTTTCTTTGTAGCTGTCTTAAATGTTTATCTTTTTCTCTATGAAATAACGAAATGCAGGATTTCAATAAAAATGTGCACTGTAATGAAAGTTTTTAATACTGTGTCATTAGTTTACGTTCTCAGTAAAAATGCAGTAAGTCTGATAGTTTTTCTCTTTAACTATGTAATTCGCATTTTGAATTTTTCAGAATGACGGAAGTAAAAATTCTTCACTTACGTAACAAACATTTGTTGAATAAGTTCCTATGAGTTCTACTTCAGAAGGAGGAGGATCAATAAAAATGTTTCTTAAATTTCAAGTTTAAGAATAAATCCAGATCGAATATTTAAAAAATAACAAAACGGTTATATTTATGGATAAACACACTATCTACTGATATATTAAATATTGGTTAGAAAAGAAACAAATGATATATCTTCCGTTCGTTTAAATGTTGTAAAATGTGTTCTGAAGTATTCCATCATACTGTAGAATTACACATTAGTTTACACTGTAGAGTTACACATTAGTTTACACTGTAGAGTTACACATTACTACATGTCATTAGTGTTTTTTTTTTTTTTTTTTTTTTTTTTTATGCTGGAGCCGTGAAAATTGGCCAGTGCCCTCGCCGGGACTGAAACTTAGACCTCTCGAATACGCGCCGAGTGTGCAACCGCTACACCGCGAAGGCATGCTGGAAGGAGGACAAACTACCTATAATCCTCCTTTTAAGGGGCCCACCTGCGGGCGAGCGGTAATGTCGCTGAACACTGGCAGTTCGGTTCGAGGTTCGAATCCCTCGAACGGGCTGGCTCCTTGGGTGTTTTCGCGGTTTTCCCCATGTGTAACGTGTATACGAGCCAGTTTCTCTTAAAAAATCCCCCACGAAGGCATCCATCCCTTAAGGCAGATAGCCCTCGAGTGCTTTGCCGTAATCTAATAAACCAAATCAAACCAAACCTCCCTTTTAAGTGCGATCGGGGATGAACGGACCTATAATCCCTGGTGGAACCATTTCAAATCCTAGTGGTGACGAATTACTGCCCACCAACTTTTAGTTCGGGTGCCCCTGTAAAGTCATTATATGTTTCTTTTAAGCATATTTCCCCTAAAATTTAAATGTGTTCATGATTTTATATGTTAACCACTTTATATGAAAAAAAAAAAAAATTTAGTAAATTTGGTCATCTACGACTGTTTAAAATATAAAGTTATGAAAAAAATAAAAAATGTTGTCGATTTTTTAGCTTTTTATATGTCAACATAAACATTTATCAATTAACTGATATGTGAAAGATAAATCATTTGCAAACTCCTAATTTTTCACTATACAATTCATACCCAAACGTGAAGTATATATATGTATGTTAATATGGATGAAATAACTTCCATATTGAGTGAACTCTTTTAAGCATTTTAAAAAGTTAACTCTCATTTAAGCTAAAATTATAATTTCAGAACGCAGCTTACCATTCCTTATGGTTTACATAAAGTTATTATATATACCATCAGATGCGGTATCGGCACTAACATAAAAATGTAAAATATCTTCTTTTCAACAAATGGAAAAGCTAAGTCGTTTCCTTGCAGCCACTTGAAAAGGAATATAGATACGACACAAAAAAGCTAAGAGCGAGGAAAAAGTAAAAGATCAGGTAGGAGAGATGGTTGTCTTATAAAAAGCCGATTTTATGTTTCTATAAACGTATTTTAAAACGCTTCATAAAATAAAATATATCTAAAATGAGTTTTGACGCTCTGCTACATGTAATGTTTTATACAATGTTTTAAGTTTTATTTTTCAGAATGTTTTTATATAGAAATTTTCTATCTATTCATTGTTTTATTTTTTTTGGGGGGGGATAGAGGGAGAATAAGAGGAAGAAATTTATTTGAAAGTTTATGTATTCTATTCTTTCTATTGCAGTTGCCAAGGCAACAATACCTGAGGGTCCACTGTTGTACATCCAGAGCGGTAGCACTATAAATTTGACTTGCATAGTTACTGAATATGCTACTCCTCCTGTTTATGTCTTCTGGTACCATGATGACCGAATGATCAACTATGACTCTCAGAGGGGAGGTATCAAAGTGACTACGGACAAGGGAGCCACCACGATAAGTCGACTGCAGATCTTCACTGCTCAGTCTTCAGACTCCGGAAATTACTCCTGCCAACCATCATATGCTGATCCTGCTAATATTACCGTACACGTGCTAAATGGTAAGTAAAAATTTCTTAATTGCCGTACGTGCCTTAATTGCCGTAAACTCTTCAATGTAAAATTTAAAATCAGACAAGAAAGCTATCTGTAATTTCGGGGATTTTAAATAAAATTCGATGCATTTTGAGGTCGATGCTTCTACTTCAAGAATAAGATGGTTAGTTCCCTCTAGTTTAAAAAGTGAGAGAAACAACAGTTTATACAGGAATTCATAAGCGGAACGAAGATAAAATTAATCTAGCGCCATCTATTGAGTGAAAGAATATTTAAGTATGGAAAAATTAAGATATGCTTTTGTAAATGTGGAAGGCTTTGAGAAGATTGAATTCACTAACTGATGAAGCATTATTGATAATTGCATAGAATAGTCAAAACTGTCGTTAAGGGACCTAAATACGAATAGATAACGAAGGTTGATTTGTGTTTTTCCTTTTCAGATGAGCGATTTGGTCAAGTAGAAGAGAACCTGCTTCACACCATCCTCAAATTTGATATAGTTATCTCCAAAATCTACTCAAAGAAAATTTTTTTCCGATTAAATAATCTCTGTTTGTTATCTGAACATATCCGAAACGCGTTTTTGAAATACAGTGAGACATAAATAACATTGGAGGCATAGACAGGTATTATTTAAGAGAATTTTTATGTTAGTAAATTTAGGAAATTTTGCTGTAAGCCTTCCTTGCATTTTAATGCCTTGCATTTTAAGTATTTTTAAATTAATTAAATTAAATCAGGGCAAACTGTGCAATTATGCATACATATGAATGCTTCTCTTACGAGAAGTTTTCTGAAATATTTGCTTACTTTAAAGTATTTATTTCGGTGAAAAAATGCTTATTTATAAATATCATGTAGCAGTCATTTTTTGTAACTGTGTCACTAAGCAGAGGATCTGAAATTATAAATAGTATACAAAGGATTACTTCCATATTACATCAAAAGCAAGATATGTGCGAAACTACCGGACCACTTAAATCGATGACTTGACGTTTCGTGGATTACAAGCACCCGGAATATAATATGCTACTGTAAGACAGGTATTTCCAGGTTATTTTCCGCACCTGATTTGTGCCTTAACCATCTAAAAAACAGCTGCGGGCAAAAAAAAAAAAAAAAAAAAAAGGTCGAGTCGCTTAATTTTTCCCTCCACTGCATTGATGTTTCGCGTGCATCGCTTTCTGAAACGTACCCGAATGAAGGCTAACTTGAAAGACAGCCACAAATGACGGGGACAAAATGGATACTGTGCGGTGATGATGACGCGAGTTATGATCGCATGTGGTCGGGGCTGGCAGTTGCCTTGAAATTCCTATTTTGAAATAATAAACAATAGTACAATAAAGTCATTCGTCACAGTTTGTGTAAAACTCGTGTTCTGTGTCATTAAAATGTGCAATAATCTTTCATTTTATCGCCATAAACTTGCCCAGTAGAGGTACTTGTGTGAACATTTATTGTTGATCTAAGATAAGAATTTCTGTGGGGAAATATTATATTTCTTTTCCTTCAGAGAATTATTTTTAAAAATGGAAATTAAGAGCAGCTTCGTTTGAACAGAAGCTAATTTATTGAACATTCTTATTATTTAGAGAAAATGATAACACATTCCAGATTTTTTTCCATACTTAACACGAAATTAACAAGAAATTTTCATTTAAATAGAAAATTTAAGCAACACTTGAAACGCCGTTGTTTATTTTTCCAAATAAGCTGTGTGATTGTAAGCAAACTGTAAGCAAAATTGAAAGGCTATAATGTGCTTTCATAAAATCTTCTGTCTTAATGTTTTCTATTTAACTATATAGATTAACTTTCCATTTGCTTTTAATTGAGTAAGCACTTAGCTAGGAGGAAAAATAAAAGTAACAGGATCTGTCTTTTTCTTACAGAACGTTAGGCAGTATATTTATAAGCTTCATATTCGACTAAAATTCTTGATCTTTCTTTAATGTTGGGAACCCTTGGGAACATCTTTCTTATCCCACAAGGAAAGATTAGTGAAACTGCCTAAAGTTTGTGACACTGTTACCGTGAAAGACCGAAATTGGAGAATGTCGACTTTCATCGGAGAATGATAACATTCACCAAATACGTTGGAGAAAGATCGAATATTGCACTACATTCTTGTATATTCGGACCCTCACCGGTGTATGTCGACAATCACAGATATGCTGTGGTGTAAGTCGAAAAGAGAGGTCATGAAGTCCCATAATAGTTTAAGTTGTTGCAATAAATAAGATTTGAATCACATAATTTAGTAATTTTTTTATCACTGTTATTTTATTTTCTCATTTAGAACCTACTGTATACTTAAGTAAGTTTTTATCTTCTATTATTTTCCTTTCTCATTTTGAATGTATTGTGTGTTTTAGGTTCTCATGTTCTTAAATTCTTATTTCAAGTCTCAAGCGCGTTTATTCGCGACTGAATTACGGAGAAGAAAATATAATATTGTTATATGTTCAACATTCACCATTAGTACATGGTGAATGTCGACATTGACCGGTGTAAGTCAGAAATAATAGTATTTGGAAAATATTTCGGACATACACCAAGAGACTATGTGAATGTTGACACCATTCACCGGTGAAAGTCGACATTCTCCAGATTTCGGTCTTTCACCGTAACAACACTACATGGAAATGCTGTAGTGAGTAAATAAGCTTAGAAAGTTGCCGTTTTCAAAGAAAGCATAATCTTTATTTTTAAAGTTTCAATTTTATGTTTTCTTCCGTTCTTGGGCTAAATATTTTGAAATACCTTCAGAAATTTTGTTACCACAAAGTAACAGGATAAAAATTTTATTTCTTATTTTAAAAAATAATTGATTATTTATTATGTTATTTAAGGTAATAAAAATATTAAAATAGGTGTATGATATTATATGACAGGCAGGCTTGTAAGTAGCATATAAGTATTCAGAAATTTAGCATAAAAAAACTGCCCAGAATGTTTTATAACATTATACTGCGTAAAAATACCGGTGTATCAATATCGCGTGCAGTTTTCCCAGTACCTTTCGAAGCAAAACTTGTATAAATCTGATGGTTAAAAACATTTAGCTTCAATATAGCTATATAGAAAATGTTGGATGTTTATGTGATCAGTTCTGATGCGCGGCCAACCAGTGGCAGAGCGCTAAAATCGCTGAACACTGGTATTTTGGTCCGTGCTAGCCCCATGAGTAGTATGTATACGAGCAAGTTTCACTTAGAAAGTTCTCCATGAAGGCAACCCTCGCTTAAGCAAATAGCATACGAGTGCTTTGCCATATTATTATACTATTATGTGTTGTGCCCTAAGGCACTACACAGAAGAGAGCGCTGGCTTCGTGGAGGAGTTTCTAAGGAAAACTGGATCTTATTAACACGTTAAACATGGAAAACACGAAAATGTGCGTGCAGCCAGCCAGCTGCCCATGTTTAACGTGTACACTAGTCAGCTCTGTCAGAAAGTCATCCACGAGAGCATCCGTCATTTTAGTCACATAGTCCTTGAGGCTATGCCATAATAAAATAAGCTATAAACCATAAATCATTCCCGATGAGTTATCTTATTTGCCATACCTTCTAATGTATATTAACAGAGAAAAATGGCCTTAGCGTTACTTCTTTAAATAATTACAATTATTTATAATTATAAAATTATAATAATAATATAATATAATTATTTATAATTATAAAACAACCACTTTTGATAGAAACTTTTATTTTAGGAAAAAATATATATATATATATATTCTGACCCTTAAGATGTATGTTTTGCCGTTAGTTTGCTAGAGGCGACTTCATTAAAAGCAATTATATGAGATGGAATTTTAGATTGAACTATGCGAAGTCATTTAGCTCAGTGAGGATCATTAATATGCGTATTTTAACATGTTGAAATGTTTGACTGCACTAAGATCGAAATTATGCTTTAAATTTTCATAGTGAAAATCCCTAAAGGATTTTATATGGGTCTGCAGTCTATTCGGATTCCAGTCAGAAGTATGGAGACTGAATACTTAATCTACTTAGCTTAAATATTTAATCCATATTCATTTTCGGTACAAGAGGCTTTAAATTTTCACAAAGCTTTAATTTTAATACCTACTGGATGATTCACGATGGTCTGCTGTACGTTTCTCACATAAATGTTTTGTAATTTCTCCTCTGTGTGTACCTTTTCTCTACACCATATAAATTGCAAAATGTCAATTAAATTTTCAAGAACGGAAACATCAGTTATATTTTTTGAGGAGAAAAGGAATTTCAGTTGCAAGAAAAGGGAATTTCAATTGCATATCCTAACTCTTCTTATTTGTAATTTCTTTCTTTCTCACACGCACGTATGTATATGTGTATATATATATATATATATATATGTAATAATAAAATTCCATAGTCAAAAATACACTTAAAATTCTAACTGTATGTTCTTTTCATTTTTAATGGCGACGGTCTCTTATTTGAAAGTACGTGGAATTAAATCCACAGTCCCGTAGTCAAGTTGTTTTTCCCGCCTTTTCTACACGTACAGTTATAGAATGTTCTGGAAATATTTAAAGCGAACTGGAATTGGCTGACGAGGCTGACGTCATTTCTTGGAAGCTCCGCCTTTCCAGAGGCTATAAAAGGACTCGCTAAGGAATATCGGAGTCTTTTCTTTAATGTAACGATGCAGTAAACTTCATACAAAAGTTATTTACTCTGGAGATCTGATTTTTGTATCTGCTATTTCTCCTGAATAATAATAAATGTATCCTGTTTTTTAAACTTATCGTCTGATACTTTGAGCTTCAACTACGTCTATGATTCTTCACCAATCTATTTATTCCGATCAAAAGCTGGTCCATCATATATATATATATATCCCTGCATATATATGTGTGTGTGTGCAAAAAAATTAAATTAAATAATACGTTTAATATCCATCTCATATTCAATTCAGAATAAACATAAGCAAAAAACCAACTAAAAAAGAAAACTAGTGGTAAACCGCAAGAAAAGTGGGC